TCGAGAAAAACGTCGAATCCTAAAAATCGAATCGGATTATTCAGGCATTTTCTTCGTAATACCTTGGACGTGACACTTAAAATATAGTTTTTGTTCCGACCATTGAAAATGGGGAGGAACTTTGTATACAGGTGTATTTTAGTTTGTTTTTCTTTTTTTTTGTTTTCCACGCAAAATCAGGTACCACAAATAGTCATCGGACTGGGTTCAGCGATATATCATATCAAAGCTTTTTCAGTCATGATTCGAACGACATTAAAAATTTGCAAAAAAAATCCCAGTGTTGAGAGAAACCGGTTTGAAATTTTTGATTTTTCGTCTATTTTCGAGCGATTACAGCGATCGAGTAACGTTGCTTATGTATGAAAGAAAAAACCCTAACTTGAAAAAAAATTCTGAGAATATGGTCGGAGCATTCTGTGGTACTTGCAAAGCAACCGGCTATCCTTGTTGATTCATGTTTATATCCAGATATTTTTTAGAATTAAAGTTGAGTGAACAGTTCAAAATTAACCAAAATTGAATGCAGGCAAGCTAGTTGATTTCTTTATTTCTCAACGAAATTCAAATTACACCAAATAGTAATGCAATTGTCTAGGGTGCAGAAAACAAAAATATTCTGAACAATTTAAAAGGCATCCGGAACATTCAAATCTTTGCCCTGTTACGATCAGTCGTGTTTTGTATCCGAGTGAATGTTTTGATTTATTTTCAAATATGCGGTAGAGATGAGTAATTTTAATCATAGATATCAGCTTAATGAAAAAATGGGATGTCTTAAACCCCTACAAAGAATTAGTTCGATGGGTAATCATAATGGACTTCATACCTATTCACGAGTTTTCCCTCTTTTGCAATGCAGGGAGAGGGGAGGGGGGTTTGGAGTCTAAGAGATCCAAAAACCTAGTTTAAACTCACCGTTGTCAGTAACATTGCACCTCATTTGACTACTGATTTTGTCGGATGATCCCCTATTGTCAATCTGGTGCTGGTTTTGTCTAACGCTTTCCGCGTCGTTGATAACTAAGATAACTTTCAATTGTAATTTAAACAAAGCTATTTAATTAAATCAATTGTCAAATTAATCAAACCCTCCCTTGTTACTATCAGTCATAATCAATCGCTAGTTCACAAATTCACATCAAAATTTTCAAAATTAAACAATTAATGCATCAAATGGTTTAAAATGCTTAACAAAATAATAGCCACAGCATTTCTAGCTGAATTCTGGAATCCAAGTTCATGCAGAGTTGAGCGCTTTTGTAAAAAAATCGCATTCAAAATGGTCAAAAAAGGTTATTTTACATCATTGAAAATTTTCTGATTGAGAACATATCAGCGCTAATTCAGTGCTATTTTCTGAACCAAAAACAACAAAAAAGCTTTGAAAAAAAAGACTGAAGTTGACAATTATAGCAAATCAAAGTTGGTTGCTAAGAGTAGCACAAAATTCAGTTTGTAATCAGATGAAGTTTATACACGCCAATAAAATAAAACTTCTAAGGATCTCTTCATTGATTTCTTGAGACCAAACATGAACAGATTGAATCGCTCTATGCTAGAACATCCAAAAGAGTTCGACAAAAAGGAAAATTAAACTCATAAAATTTTTTGAGACCAAATATTCTGAGATCATTTCTTAATAATGTTTCACAATTTTACCTAAACCTAAATAAACAGCCTTTTCCTAGACTAGTTCCAAAACAAGGAAGAACAACTATCTTTCATTGGAGGACCAATTAAAAATATTTCTGAATACAAAGTGATGTAAGCCGAACAAACATACTAGATAAAAGGAACAAAATAATCAACACAGAAGCGAAGCTGAGCTTCACAGCAATCGCGATACAAAAATAAATGACTATGATTAAAATCAAACGAAAAATAAATTTAAAAAAAAACTTCAAAAAATCGTTTTTGTCCTTAAAAATTGCAACGAAAGCTCAAATTATCCAAAAAAACACCTGCACGACTGAAAACAATACAAGGAGCTATGTGAATGATAGAAAGAAGCTGAATATTTAAAAAAAATTCCTTTCAGCGGAACTAAACCGACAAAAATAAGCAGACAGACATTAATCTAAATTAGTCGAAAACTTTCAGTTTGCAGGATAAAAAACAGTATCGACTGGAATCGAACTCCCGAGCTTTGCGGTTGCAATCACGGGGTTTACAGCAAATTGGAAGAAAGCTGAAAAAATAAGGGCTGCGGGAACTAAGTCGACAAAAAAAATAAACAGACGGTCGATAGTCAGATTAAGCACAAACTCTAGTTAAAAAAAAACAGGTCCTGGCCGGATTCAAATCAACAGTCTTTGCCATCTCAAGCAGTTGTGCCACAACTAACGGATGTTTGATTGAATTTGACATTACCAAGCGGCAACAAAGCCGAAAATACAAAGGCAACACCCTTCAAGACCAAAAAATCTCAAACTTATAAAAAAACTAGGTCCTTTTTCACCTACAAACACAAACAAACAGAAAAGAATTCGGTCCTCAAACGACACAAAAAGAGGCAACTAAAACAGTTAGAAAAAAAAAATAAGGCCGAAAAAAAATAAGAAATAACGACAATTTAACAAACCGAGTTAGTAAGATTATAACCAATATGAAAATTAAACTTCGATTCGACCTATTTTAAAATGCTAGAAAAGACTGAGAGCAACTACACTGAAAATTATATGAAGCAAAAAAAACTGTTCATAGATGTGGCAACTACGCCGACGAAGCATAAGTAGACAAGTATAAGGCCGACAGTTTTATTTACACAGAAATTTTCCAATAGAACAAAAACCAGGTCCTGGTAGGATTCGAACCCAGGGCCTTTGCCGTCTCAAGCTGACTTGTCACCTATAGGCTAAAGACAGGAGACACTAAAACACTTGAATTCATTATGAAACAAGGTACCAACAGGTGTCCAGATGAGTAATGTGAAATTTTTTTACGGGAAATTTTTTTTTCAATAAAATCAAACATGTTATTCAGAGTCACTGTTGCAGTAACACACCAACCGTGATAGAAAAATCAATTAAAAGGTTGAAACGAGCTAGCTAAACGCTCGTTAGACAAAAAATGATGAGACTTTGAAACTTTGCTTCGTAAAAATTTTCAATTGAAAAGTTTTTTAAGCTTCCCCCCGTAGTCGCAACCATTCACACAGAGGCGAAGTTGCACTTCGCATACACAAACAAAAATATGACCGATAACGCTACTGGAAAAATCTGAATGAGTTTAACTTTGAGTCTACATAATTTCTGAAGTGAAGCACGCCAATTATGAGTATACATAATTGTTAGGTGAAGCAAGCCAATTATGACTCATTAGCAGTTCCAGTCTAATTGAAAAAAAATACCAACTAACATTCCTCAACTTATACAGCGGACGCACTTTAACTGATATATGAAAAAGTTCATTAAAAACATCCGCAGGTTCGAACCCTCTTATTTGGTTGCGGGTCTCCTTCCCTACGTGTACGCTACAGATCTATGATACCTTGAAGGTGAAGTGTTATTTGTAATATAATAGTCATTGTTAATATCCTTAGCATTGACTGTATTTAATAGCTGGTTATTGATCTTATGCACATACTGCAATAAAAGAACACTTTCAAAATGAACCCTAATATTTGCGACTTAGGTTAAAAAGAGAGAATTCATACTATCACACAAGCTTTGCTTGGGTAAAAACCAATAACGATTCTAATTTTATTAAACAAAAGCGAAGCTTCGATTCGCACCACTTACGATACAACAAGTAGGACTCGAAGAATTAGCGAAAAAATAACAAAAATGTAAAGAAAAACTTGAAGACACTGGAAACAAAATGAAGAAAAACGTTTCTTTTATTACTTATCTTTTTTCAAGAGGTCGTTAGGGGGTTGAGTTTGAGCATTCAAAACTATCGAGCCAGAGTGTTTTCGATCTTAAAATATTATTGGAAATTTGAACGAAACAAAAATATTGGGTAGAAAAACCGACAAAAATAAAACAGACAGCCAGTAAGCTTAACACTAACCAAAAAGTACTGCTGACATAAACACCACGAGTGCTTTATATGTAGTGAATGCAAGGTGATATACCCAATATACCCATGGCCTTTATGAGAGTCTGAACTACGAACCAAACAAAAACATAGTTTGATGAGATGATTAGTTAAAAACATGCATTTGACAATTAAGCAGCTGAAATTCGCAATCGCAAGCAAACGGGAGCTTTCAAGACAAATGGGTGCTTTCACCTTACCAAAAAATATATATGTAAGAAAAAGCTTTTGAAAAATTATAGAATTAGCCAAATCTGATTTTTTTAACTCATGCGTCTTACTGAATAGTTGACTGTGCTACCTGCCTCCTAGAGTTCACACATCTAAAAGAGTAAAAACCTAACGCTCTAATAGAACTGATAAAAACACATGCTGCAATTGCGGGTCAAACAGATTTTAAATTAAGCACTTAAAAAGACCAGTTATTTGTGCGAGTTAGATTGGAAAAAGGGATCTCGTTTTATAACAAGTAATATAAAACGAGATCCCTTTTTCCAATCTAACTCGCACAAATAACTCGTCTTTTTTAAGAGCTTAATTCAAAATCAGTTTGACCCGCAATTTCAGCATGTGTTTCATCTGTTTTATTAGAGCGTTAGGTTTTTATTCTATTAGATGTGTGAAAAACTCTAGGAGGCAGGTAGTAACTCAAATTTCCACTCGAAAAAATTCTCAAGGAAAAATGGTTTATGCTATAAAACAAAACGTTCTGTCAACCTCTTGGAACCAAAAATTTGTTAAAGGTATCCTTTTGATTAGGATTTTCCGAAACACTAGAGCTAGTTTTTTAGTGCACGTTCTATTAGAGAGATTGAAAACAACTTAAAAGAATTGAAGAAGTGCAAGTTTTACCCTTTTAGAACACTAAACCCAAAGTCAAACGCCAAAACAAACTACTGTTAAATTATTCAACTCCTTATCTGGCAATGTGCGTTGAATTAAAACACAGACTTCTGATATCTAATTATCCACAGATGCTGACAATGTGATAAAAAACAGAGCCTACTTTTTTAACAATGTTTTTACAATCAGTATACTTTAAAAGCAAAATGATCCAATAAATTTTAAGTTAAAACGCTTTCAAGGGTTTCTTTAGTTTTTAAGTCCAGATTATCTGGGAAATCCACATCGAACTTCACGATCAGATCGCCTCTTTCTGCACCGTTCAGTTGCTCAATTGCGAGTCCATGACCAACCAGCCTTTTAGTTCGACCTGGTTTTGTAACATCATGCAGAACAACAGTTATTCCATCTCCATTTATAGACGGTACCTCGACACTGCAACCACATAGGGCCTGTTTCAAGCTCAGATGAACAGAATCCTTAATGAATAAATCATAACTCTCGGATTCTTTGCCTCTTTCGAAAACCGGATGAGGGATGATAGATAAAACAACTGCAACGTCTCGAGCTGGCTGCTCCGGTGTGGGTTGGCTGCCTGCACGTTCAAGCACAACTTTAGCTCCATTTTTTGAGCCCGGGTTGAACTTGACTGGCAAGCTTTGCGTTTCAGTGACTCGCTCGCTACTGTAATTAAATATTTGCCTCTCAAAGGATACTGTCTTTTCGAAACCAGAGTGTACTTCTTCTAGTGTAGCCTGGACCTAAGAGCAAAATTTAGCTCTGTAGGTAAGATTTAGTTTTATTAAAACATTTTGTTTTTTACATTTGTCTGCTACCAACAGGAAAGGTCAAAGATTCAGTAACACTAATGTCAAACTCAAGCTCTTTGACAATTAAAAAAAATTCATCAAAATGTTTTTCTTTAATTTTTCTCTTAAATAAACCTTAGTTACAAACTTCATATGTTTCGTTTCTAGCCGATGACGTCATTTGTGCAAATGATTGCCTAAAGATGTGATCAAACGGGTGTCCACTTCCAGCCCCCGAGGTTCCCGCTCTTCCTCCTCCCCCTTCGTCGAGATCATCAAAACCTCTGAAGCCCGGAGACCCAAAGTCTGCTCCAAAGAATGAGCGGAAAAGTTTAAAGGGGTCAACGAAGTCTGAACTGCCATCTCCAGTGTGGAAATAGAAAGTTCTGCCGCCACTTGCTCCTGGGAAACCTTGAGAAACATTTTTTGTGGAAATAAGTGGAAAAAGTCTGTACCATGAGTTTAATGTGACAGGAGACTTTTTCCGACAACTTCATCAAGCTACTTGCAAACATTTGAACACATATTTGATCATGTGAACACATATTTTCTCAATTTTTATGTGAGTTTTTAAGTATAACGCTGGAGAATTAATATTTATGAAATTTACCTGGAAAGTTGCCACCCATAGGCGGTTCTGCATCTCCGAACTGGTCGTAGTTCCTTCGTTTGGCCTCGTCTCCTAGCACCGCATATGCTTCGGCTATGTCCTTGAACTTCTGCTCAGCCTCTGGGTTGTCTTTGTTCTTATCCGGGTGCCATTTGAGCGCCAACTTCTTGTACTGTTTTTTAATCTCCTCTTGGGAAGCATCTTTGCTCACACCCAGAATGGAGTAGAAATCTTTACCACTTCCTGACATTTTCGTGCTCGTTTGAAAAAAAAACTTAAAATATTCTTTGAAGATTTTTAAAAATTAACTTCAACCCATTCAATTGAGTTCATGGATTTAAGAAAAACAAATTGAATTAGCATCGAAGATCTTCACGTGAATTTTGAACAATCGTTTCTGCTTTGAATTAGGTTTTGTAAGTTTTGCCATTCAATTGGTCGCAGAACGAGTATCAATCGAATTGATAGATCATAGTCATTGCCGCATCTGAAAAAAAAAATGAAGTTATAACCAGGTAAATGAACCTTCTATACAAATGTAGCAATTATCTTTTATTGAAATGTTCGACGGAGATAAACTTTATGGTAATTGGCAGGCATAAAAATTCTAATTGAGCCCACTTCAATGCAAATCTGATCCTTGTCTGGGTATCATACGACCCAGGTAAAATAGTCTAACAAATTAGGGAGTCGCCAATACCAATTCTGATTCACTTTCCATTTCCAGAAAACACAGACCAAAAATGTTATGACTTTCCTATATTCCACAGCATGTTGTATGTTCTTTAACAGTATGTTTATGCTTTCACCGCGCCACAGAAAATATCTGGGTATAAAACTCAAACTGAATCCCGAGGAACCAAAACTTGGGAGTCCAAAAGGCTGGAATGTGTGACACTACTTCAAAGAAATCTGCTCGGTACAATGTTTATTCCAACATTCAATTCCACTTTGGTAAATAACCCACTGAAACAGTATCTGGAGTCAGAGAATAACTTCGCCAATACCGTCCACTTATTTGGAGACGAACCACTGCAATTTCTTCTCTTATCTCAAACTATTATTGAGAACTTACTTCAATTTTTGCGCTTCCTGGAAGTAGAAGCAAGAAATAGGCAAAGGAAGCAAAATCTCAATGCCAAAATTGAAGAAAGCAGTGACTAAGCAGAAGGGTAATTTGTACTTTGGTGGGACTTCGAAAACTCAAGGCGCAAAAATGTTATTATTATAAAATGCCAAGGAAGAACAAAAACTCTGTTCGCTATTATGTCGCTGGTAGTACGCAGAAAATCCAAATCACTCAGCCTCAAATGTTTCCACTTGTGTTGCTTTTAAATGAAAAGTATCCAAACTCCAAACTATGATTTAAAATAAATATTTTGAAGACCAAAATTCTAAACAGATCAAAGTAATTAGAAGATATTTAACGAACTTTGCCCAAATGAATGAGAATTTGTTCTTAATAACTTTGTTTCAAAAAACTCTTCAAGCATTTACACACTACTTAAAAAACGATTCAAACAAAATCTCTAATTGAAGCTAAAATTTTCTGCTCACAGTACTTTCGACTCAATACTGTCAGCCGAAGTTATGGAATAGAAGAACTACAATAAAACTCCTACTTTATAGCAAAACATAATAATTAGTTCAGCGTCGTTTAACCATTCGTACCATCAAGCGGGGTCCTGAGCTCTAGCAGGAGCAAGTGCCAACACAATATGCGTCACTAGTTCGCCAATAGTTGGACACAAACACGGTTCTGAGACTGAGAACGACGGGCTTTCTACCGAACGGACTAAGATCAGAATAACTGCGGTATCCAGTTTTCCTCGAAACCTCTTTGTTAATTATTTACGCTTTTTCAGATACATTTAATTATTGGTGTACTGTAATAACAATCTAGTAATTTCGAGTGTGAAACATAACATAAATCTATACTTATCTTCCGCTTTTGCGTAGCTCGTCATATATACCAACTGACGCTCCTTTCATATTTTTATTATCATTGGACCCGTCTAGTTTCATTGCAATCTGCTCAATCAGGTAGAACACGCTTTGTTTTAGTTCTCTTGAGCATGGTATAAGGGTTTTAAAACTAGAACAATTTATTTGTGGCAAAGCTATCTTTGCTCACTAAGTTCGTCTATAAAAGTCCAGAAATCCGAGTCTGAAATACCCGGAAGAATTAGCATGCAAAATAAGGCAACTAGTATTTGAAACGCATGGAAAAGAATATGTGAAGCCTTAGTTTAAGCCCAAGTTGGTTTGCTTTATAGTGCGCTTCACATTTCCAAATTCGGCTTTTACTCCATTACACACTGAACACTGAAACTATTTATAAATCCAGGTGAGACCATTTGATCACTAAATTGAGCCCCTTGAATTTTTTGAGGCATTCAGCAGCCGCTTTTAATTAAGATGACGGATCTTGTTAACTATCCCCTTTTGGTAAATATAATGGTATGTCCATCCTATTAAAGAACCAACATGTAAATTTGGTACATTAAAACGACTTTCCCCGTTCTGAAATAGGGGGAAGGGGGATAGTTGAAAAGATCTCAGACGATCAAAAAAGATCAAATGTTTCAACAGAACCGTGAGCAAATACAAGAAAAAATAGAAAGAGAAAACATACGCGCTTCAATTTGGCTACGTGCTTCGCATTCAGGTTCAAGTTATCAAGATCAACACAGAGGCTTTTGTGCGGAAAAAAAATGAAATAGTTGAGAAGAAAGACTAAGACTTAAAAAACCGATAACGTACCGTAAGAACTGAAAAAACAATAAGAACATACTCGACAATTCATCAGAAGCGATTTTTTAAAGAAGATAATGCATATATTAAAACGACATACATAATATACATATACAAATACATATACATATAACAGTGATCGATACTCCGAGTGCCCAAAAACCTTTCGGAAAATGATGAATAAAAAATCACCCCGAGCATAAATATTCCTCATTTACTTCGGAAGTGGGAACAAAAAAAACAACTTTCTGAATAACATTTCTGGGGTACAGAAAAAATTCGAAACACATCAAAACTGCTGAGAAAAATTTAAGTGGTATCAAATTTGATCGAAACATAAAACCAAAACGAGCAAAAAAAAATTGAAAACAAATAAATTTTTTCTTCTTTTTTTTTTGCAAGTTTCTAAAAATCACTTGAGATTCAGCCGAAACGAAAGGCTAGCGAACTGCTAAATCTTGGATTGATTAAAAAAATGGTCCTTTGATATGCTCGGAAGAATTCTATTTCAGATTTTTTTAAATATAGGGTAGATTCGAACATCGTAGGACATAGTGTAGGGAAAATTAGCTTATGGTAGATTGCAATGGATCATGTAAACAACTATCAGACAAAACCTGTGAAAGATATGGAATTAATAAACAGAAAAAATTTGGAAAAACTGTTTTCGAAACAGAGTTTTCGCTCGAAATTGGAATATTACTATCAAAAACAAACTCATGAAAGATTAAAATTTGATAGTATCAGTTGAAATCATAATTTCTTTGTCAGACAAAGTATGAAAAATATTCAGAGTTTTGAGAAAATTTGGAATCGAAAACAATTTGATGAGTAATCTAGACACACCCTTTATGCTCGATTCTAGCTTAAAAGCAATGATGATGATAACTAGAACTGTACATAAACATTTAAAAACCGCTGCCCGATTGAGAAGTTTGATCTAAAATCGAATTAGGACAAAAGCTAGAGCTCTTATTAAATGATCACGCTACAGCATATCTGCATCAAAATAGAGCGTTTGAAAACTTGAAAAACCTCGCACAACAATCGGACACAGCAATACTTGGGTAAACGCCTGTGCTGTCCGAAAAAAAATGTTGTCACAAGAAACTTAAGCTATAACAAATTTGGAATATTTTTGAAACTTCAAGTGATAGGTCTCCTCCAAAAAAACAAGCATAATTAAAGTTTATAACCCTTCAAACGACGCATTATGATGCGACTAAGCCAAAAAAAACGAGTTTTAAGCCGAATCTGCCTTTGCGCCGAAAAAAAATGAAATTACACAAATCGAAGCTGGCGGAGATGCGAGCCAAAACAATATACGCACCAAAACCTATACGCAAAAAAAGCTAAGATTGCATCGTTAAAGCGACTCAAAGTTCGCATCATTTGCTGTTAGCAGATCAACGCAATGCGCAACTTGAAAAAATTATCTTGATAGAAATAATGTTTCAACTACAAAACTTGCATCACAAATTATCAGGAAATTTTTTATTCACGCAGAGGCGAAGGGGAGCTGCGCACACTTGCCATACAACACACCCATACAACAGATAACGAAAGTATCTTAAGTTTCAAAAAAATTTTTGTTAACAAAGCAACTTAATTCTTGAACCTGCGATCTTGTAACGAGATACTACTACTGGTCTTATTCTGCTGATATCAGTTAGACGATTCACCAGTCATGACACTTCTATGAGAACTAGGAGCAAAGAACGATAGCTAAAAGCATAAATATGGCGAAAAGGAAGCACGAACTTTTTAACACAAAGGCGGAGCAAAACTTCGCGCCACTTGCGAGATCGAAATGAATAGCGATGATTAAAAGCAAATGAAAAGACAAATCATAAATTGAAAAAAAAACATCAAAACAATGTGTTTTAATTTTTGTCAAAAAAGGTTTATAGAAAATTCAAAAATTGCAAATATGACACAGAGAGGCGAAGCTGTGCTTCGCAAACACAAGCAAGGAAAATGCAAAAAAGATCTCTAAGCAGGCAAACAACGTGAAAAGGTTAAAAAGACACCTAGAGAAACTTTTTTGCGAAGCTTGGGAGTAACACGTTCTCACAACTGCTGTATGACCGCTTGTATATATCTCAGCGAACCCCGACGCAAACAGTGCGTCCCGTAGCTATCCTAGTCATGCCGAGGTTGAGCTGGACACTCTTGCTACCTGATCACTTAAAGGGAGCGTGTAGTGCATACGACATCCCACCTTACGTGACCAGCTTGGATCCTATAGGGGCACAGCTCCTTTTCAACCCCACTCGTTGGCCCTTGATCATCATAGATAACCCACAGGGATAACTTTAAAAGGTCTCTGGCTTAGACCGATGAGCATAGCTCATGCACTACTTGGGCAGCAATCTCGTATCGCCAGCTTTCTTTCCCCTACTAACTGACAGTTGGAGAACCCGATAATTAACTGACAGCTTCGGGTCCATACTCACCGGCAACTTAAGACACTTTAATAATCGCCGGTAACTATAGAACATAGCTACCGCTTTGAGGGAAGAGTGTCCCTAAAACTCCTTTAAACAGAAGAAATTTCACAAGACTATGCAAGCATAGACCTTCGCCGAACACGAAGCCGTACAAAGTGTCAATAGACATACGGGAAACCTGCCACTGGTTAGACCAATGGCCAGGAGGGGCACACGCAATACAAAGATGTCGGGTATCCCCCAAAGCTCACATTTGCCGAAGCATCGCTTCCCAAGGTTCGCACCTACGTCTCTAAGCACTGGTCAATGGGACGTGTGACGTTTGCAGAAAAGGCCTCGTTTGATAAACCATCGGTGACATACTGTCGGCTCCAGTATATCGCGCGGGCAGATAGGTAATACAAATACCTACCCGACAACCCAAAAGCTCAGACCAACTCCCCAGGATGCACCGGGGTAGATCCGATTACTGCGGACCACACCGTAAAGGACTACACCACTCGAGCACACTTGCTGTTAGAAGATCAACGCAATGCACAACCTGAAAAATATATCTTGATAAAAATAATGTTTCAACTACAAAACTTGCATCACAAAATATCAGGAAATTCTTTAATCACGCAGAGGAGAAGGGGAGCTGCGCACACTTGCCATACAACACACCCATACAATAGATATTAAAAGTATCTTTAATTTCAAAAAATTTGTGTTAACAAAGCAACTTAATTCTTGAACCTGCGATCTTGTAACGAGATACTACTACTGGTCTTATTCTGCTGATATCAGTGAGACGATTCACCAGTCATGACACTTCTATGAGAACTCGGAGCAAAGAACGATAGCTAAAAGTATAAATATGGCGAAAAGGAAGCACGAACTTTTTAACACAAAGGCGGAGCAAAACTTCGCGCCACTTGCGAGATCGAAATGAATAGCGATGATTAAAAGCAAATGAAAAGACAAATCATAAATTGAAAAAAAAACTTCAAAACAATGTGTTTTAATTTTTGTCAAAATAAGCTTATAGAAAATTCAAAAATTGCAAATATGACACACAGAGGCGAAGCTGCACTTCGCAAACACAAGCGAGGAAAATGCAAAAAAATCTCTAAGCAGGCAAAACAAAGTGAAATCAGGAAAAGGTTAAAAAGACACCTAGAGCAACTTTTTTGCAAGGCTTGGGAGTAAGACGTTCTCACATCTGCTTTATGACCGCTTGTAATTTTACTAACACTAGCCACCAATAAAGCAGCTGCAGTTTCTATCAAAATGCCAATGCGATGCAGGAAAAACTCGACCACAAAAACTCTGGATTTGGATCTCCTGCCGGTTGATTAGGATTTCCACTTCCTGGCAATCGCGCCACGGACGCTTGGAAGAAAAACTAGTTGCCCAGCTTATGCTAGATTCACATGTTTTAATATTTGGATCATATTTTGAACTGAGACCGAATTGCGTAATTTTGAAAGTTTCAAAAATGGACTTAATGCAAAAACCTAGTGATTTTTCTGCTTACTTAGTGGATGAGCTGCATATTTAAATAAAAAAACTACTAATTGATCTTTCAACTGAATTCTTCATCTCAGATTTGGCTGGGTAGTTTTCGAAAAAAAAAATTGAAAAAGACTCCACAAAACAATCAAAAATCGAAAAAGTTGGCTTTTCGCAATTTCACAAAACGTTCTCTACTAAAGCATGAGAATTGTCTCGTATGCAGGAAGATTTCCAAACCCTGATTTTTAGACTGAACCCTTAAAATCGGCTTTAGCTAGTAGCTTTCGAGAACAGTGATGAAATTTCTTTAAAAAAAACGGTAAAAACTTCAAAAAATGGATTTTTCCGATGTCCATATCGGCTTTTCTACAAAACAAATAAGGCGAAACAGATTAAACAGGAAAAATCTCAGCACGATGTTGGTTTGAATGAATTATCAACCTTAGAATCAGCATGTTAGTTTTTGAAGAGAAAAAGAAGTTTCCAAAAAACGGGCAAAGTTTCATAAATTGTACATTTTCTAAGGCCATATTTTTTCAAAACGCAGGGCATAGTCGCTTGAGCTGGGAAGATTCGCATACCACGTTTTTTCTTCCGGTTGAACTCTTATTCTCCGAATTGGCAGGGTAGTTTTTGAGAAAAGTCAAAAAACTTTGAAAATTAACCAAAACGTCAAAAAATGGGCTTGTTTGAGGCCATAACTTTTTTTTCCAAAATTAGGGAATTGCCGCTTGAGAAGGAGGGATCCCAATGATAAGTTCTTTAGTTTAAACGTTCATCTCAGATTTATGCATTTAATATTTGAGAAAATGAACAAATTCAAAATCAAATAAGTCAAAAATCCCCTTACTTTCGAAAGCCGTAGAACGTGGTGTGAACTGAAAAGAGACTAGCAAAAAATGCAGGCACATAGAATAGCAGCCAATTTTTCCAATGACAATATAGTTTCGCAAATTGGTTCAGTAGTCGGTCGCAAAAAAAAAAATTAACAAATCCCATACATTTTCATAACACCTGTTGTTTTCAAACAGGAACTAACACTAGCCAAAATAAAACCAGCCCATATGCTATCAAATTACCTATGCTTAAATACGCTTAAATATGATGAAATTGAAATATACCAAAAGTGCCACTAATGAGCACTTTATTTGCGACTTAGGTTGGAAAAAAAGTAGGTTCGTAATAATACACTTCGCTTCGCTGTGTAAAAAAATCCTGAAACAAAAAATACGTGCAGCATTAGAAACTTAACAAGCAGCTTTCGGAGCGCTAGAAAGAAGCTGAAAAGTAAAAAAATATATACTTCTGAGGGATCTAAGCCGACAAAAATAGGCAGACAGCTTGCAAAAAAAACAGGGCCCAATTGTAAACGAACTTCCAGGCTTTGTCGTCTCAAGAGTGGCGTTACCACTGCGCCATATGTTCAGACTGCACCTTGAACTTGAATTTACAATAAAGAGAGTAGAACACATTTAACGTGCGAATTCTGTGAACTAGTACCCGGTTGCAACAATCTATTTGAATATTTAATTCAATTTATATTTCCATTTCTAGCCAAAAACATTCGTTGTCCATTAAGAAATTTACAAATAAGCAATAAAAATTACAGTAAAAACGAAAATCTATGAGACGGTTTTCATGAAAGCACATTGATGACAAGCAAAAAGCAATAGCTCTTCCGCATAGCCCCTACATGAAACACTGAACCTGCGTTTTAACTTAGACTGATATCAACATTGTTCAGACGAGCAAAGTATAGAACGATTCTCAAACCAACTATAGGCTGCTTAATTGAAACAGTAAAACCTAACAAACGATGGGAAAAAATTAAAACATCGCCAATCGACGATTGAAAAAGAGTAATGAACGCAAGAAAACATTATAAAAAAACACAGACTTTCTTGAAAAAACCCAACTTCCGAATTTCAAAGAAAAAAATAGATGCCCTTTAGGCTCTTTCAATTTCTAGAACAATTTATGACCATAACATGAGAAAACTGGATCAATGGGTAAAGTTTTTATTCCACTGGGAAATCTTAAAAATAAATTCCACTTTCGAAACTAGAAATCGTTCACATTTTTTTGCGCCATTTCCCCGTTCGTATTTGGAGAGTGCTATTTACGTCACTTTCAGCAAATGAATTTCAATTAAACTCAAAAAGTGCATTATACCTTAATGCATCAATATTTTAAGACTTTTTCCTGAAAAAAAAACAAAAAAAATCACCTAGACCAATTTAAGAGTCTTCACTACGTTCATTACTCTTAAGAAAAAAATCTGAGCTGCCTAAAATGAGGTTTTTACCAGCTTCTCAATAGCAAAACCTAAATCCACGTCAATATCTGATACCAGAGCAATCATATTGAAAAAATCTGGCAAGCATAGGCAACATTACACTCCTATGGCATTTTTCAATATACAGTTGGAAAATGGTCAACAACGCAAGGACAGAAAAAATGACTTTTTTTACTGAAACAAAAAATGCTAAACAAAAAAAATCAAAGCAAAAACATCAGCCCTTAGAGCTGTTTTCAATAGAACTTTATGATAAAATTAACCTGACTTGAGAAAACTGGATCAATAGGTATTTTTTTTTATTCCGCATCTGAAATCTGAAAAATAGAATTATTTTCCTAAGTTGAAGTAGATTACGTTTTTCGTGGCCTTTTACACTTCTTATACTTGACATCGGAGTTTGACTTCAATTTTAAAAAATGAGCTAAATTTTAAAATAATTTATGGGCCAAACCGCAAAAAAGATATTCAAATTGAGCGTGAACAAAATTTAAGTACGTTCAAAAACATTTTGAAAAGTGTCCTCACAGCTGATAAAACACAGACCTATCTAGTGCAGCACTCACACAGACCTATCTAGAGCACAACTTCGATTTAGATTCAATTTAATTAATCATAGCCAACAGAAAGTTAGAAAATTGCCAATCAACAAAAAACTGAAAAAACTAATTTTGTCGGAAAAATTTTCGAATTTTGAAATTTGTTGAAAAAAATACAAAAAGTCAGAGCTTTCGAAAACTTTTTTATGATGAGTAGTTTTTCATTAAATTAACACAATTACAGAAGACTGGATCAATAGGTAAATTTTCAATTCGAACATTCAGAAAATTTAAAAAAAAAGTCCACTTTCAAAACAAAGTCATGCACGTTGCTTCGCGCCATTGTTACTTTCACGAATGCAGAGCGTATTTTGCCTTCATTCTGGCATATGACTTGAATTGAGTTTGAAAAACATCAAACCGCGATCACATTTGAGCGTGATCAAATTTCAAGACGTTTTCTGAAAGAAAAACGAAAAAAACAAAACAAAAAAACAACCCGAATGTGTTTTCACTTCATGCATCAATATTTGATTAGAATGCACTTATATGGAAAAGAAAGAAATACAATATGGGGAGCTATTATATCAAATAATAGCCGATATATAATTCAGTTAGGAAAACAAAATTTGTGCAAAAATTAGTTATTTTTTACGCCATCGCCAAAGATTATGCGGTCAAACCTGCCCTCAAGTGTCACGAATAACTTTTCGGTATTTTAGTCGCATTTCGAGACAAGAAAAACACACTAACGAAAAGTCGACCACAAAAACCTGACTAAGTATTTGTGTTGTTGGGATGGGGGACGTGGACATCAGCTGCCGGTCGCCGACCGAGTGTCCTCTGTGCTACGAGAGCTACAGTCAGGAGGGGGAGTACCAGCCACGCATGATCATACCATGTGGCCACACAGTGTGCTACACGTGTATAAACAGACTAGCCCAACAGCCGGTCATGATGTGTCCCATATGTCGCAAAAAATGTCCATCCAGGTAGGAAAGCACAACGATAACCTTTTTACTTTTAAAACATCACTTTATTTCATACAGAAATTTGTATAATCATCACCACAGTCCAGGTTAATTCTGTTCCAAAGCGGTTACTGTGATAGGAGAGTAGTTCAGTTCTGGCGAATATTGCACATAGCTATGTTTGGCATTATAACATTGAGGTCAAAATTTTGACTTAGCAGTTCACAGCAACCGGATGTCTGACTCAGCAGTCGAGGGACTGAAATCGAAATTCATTCACCCGCACTGCGAGAACTTGTCGCTTTCTCTCATTGTGGCAATTTTCTTCGTTCCATTCCCAAACTAAGACATCAAATCAACATAAAGAAAATATGAGCTGCATAGAATAATCATCTTAACTCCGTTTTCTTCAATATGTCCTGTTTAGACTGATTAACGAGGGTGGTTTCCCAATCAACTACTTGGCCATAACTCTGTTGGAGAGTCAGAAGAAGGACCGAGTGAGTACTCTGCAGGCCAATGGAGGAGGAGGGGATTCCAATGCTAGCAGGTGCAGCAGCAACTCAGACGTTACATGCAAGTCTCCCAAACTGGGAAGGTGGGAACGAGCATAATACATTAAACTGACGCATAAACACGTGTCTACTATCTTTTAAATTAATAAATCGAAGCGTTTATTGACACATATGCATGAAAAAAACAACCGGTTAAGGAGTCAACATTTTTTCCACAAAACTGAATATCCGACAATCTGGAAACATTCCGCTGCTTAAATCACATGAAAAACAATCAAACAACTAAAAAAATTAATTGATAAAATTATTTTTTTAAAATTTTTAAACACTTCGCACCACTTGCTATACAAAAATGAATGACTACGATTAAAAGCAAACTAAAAAACAAAGTGCAAAAATAACAAGATATTACTGCATTTAATTTGCCCCTTATTTCGAGACAAAATCAATGATTCTAATAAGGTGTTGAGAGTAGTAATATCACTGTTTGTTTTCTTAATCATACAAAAGCTTGGGTATATATGGTTGCTGATATTGTACCTACATCGATCTCTGCCTAGAACTTCTGATTAAATTGGAGAGAACGATTATGTTTGAGAGATAGAGAGAGAGAGAGAGAGAGAGAGAGTTAGGGGAAGTTTAATTATATCGATTTGTTTGTTGGGTCGTCTCGTCAAATCTATCACTGCAGTTGCCCCACGGATATCTAGGGTATCTAGCTATTAAGATATTACTACAGTTAATTTGCGCCTTATTTCCTTACTTTGAGACAAAATCAATGGTTTTAATAAGGTGTTGTGAGTAGTAATATCACTGTTTGTTTTCATAATCATACAAAAACTTGGACTATATGGTTGCTGTTATTGTGCCTAAATCGATCTCTGCCTAGAACTTCTGATTAAATTGGAGAGAACGATTATGTTTGAGAGATAGAGAGAGAGAGAGAGAGAGAGAGAGTTAGGGGAAGTTTAATTATATCGATTTGTTTGTTGGGTCGTCTCGTCAAATCTATCACTGCAGTTGCCCCACGGATATCTAGGGTATCTAGCTATTAAGATATTACTACAGTTAATTTGCGCCTTATTTCCTTACTTTGAGACAAAATCAATGGTTTTAATAAGGTGTTGTGAGTAGTAATATCACTGTTTGTTTTCATAATCATACAAAAACTTGGACTATATGGTTGCTGTTATTGTGCCTAAATCGAACTCTGTCTAGAATTTCTGATTAAATTGGAGAGAAAGATTATGTTTGAGAGATAGAGAGAGAGAGAGTTAGGGGAAATTTATTTATGTCGGTTTTTTTTTGTTGGGTCGTCTCGTCAAATCTATCACTCAGTTCCCCACGGATATCTAGGGCATCTAGCTGCAAAATCGACGCAAAGGGGAAACCACGTGGCGGTCCAGTGATAGCGTCTTTCTGCGTTAACTCCTACTCTGTGCAAAGCACGCTCAAGAATGAGGTTTGTATGTGATCAAAATATGTCCGATCTAGGCAGAGTTTTTCGGCGTGCGGAAAACTGAGTGAAACTCAATGCCCGGTTTGAGTGGGCAGTTTGTAGTCAGTGGGGAGAACCGAGAAAAACTCCCGTTATGTGAGGCTACGTGAAAAGTTGCAGATGTTTGACAGCTTCTTCGGGATTCTCCCACAAGCTCTTGATGGTAAAGGAGGAAGGGTGAAACCAGCAGATGACTAGATGATCGGCGGTGTGTGGTCTTACTTAACAACATTTAGATACGAAACTTGGCCAAATGTCGGGTGCTCGGGCGAAGTTGTGAGAGTGTACATCTGGTTTTCCGGTCAAGTTTACTTTCGCTGACTCATATTAGTGTATTCTGCCAAGTAGCTCCGATTATTCATTAAGAAACAATTGAATTTTTGTTTTGAGAAGTTGTTGAACTTCACAGACATAATCATGCGTAGAGACGCTCTCCTAGTTTTTGGTAAGCAGGTGTTCAAGGTCGTTCTTGAACTTATGTACGAGGGTGGGCCTGCCTGATGTTCCCATTGAACCCTCGGTGGTTCTACGATCTTGGTAGCAGCCAAGACGGAACAACTTTGAGAGCACTTCACTGAGTTCGGACCGGAAGGATTTTCGTTTCGTGTTGTAGATGTGCGATGTCATTCTTAAGCACCCTGTTGTTTTACTAAGAGCACTGTTCTTCTTCTTCACACAAGTCGCTGTCAGATTATGTAACTTAGTGCAGTGGTCCAAATGATAGCTGCATAGTTCAAGGCACGCCGCCTAACAGCCTTATACATTACATTGAAGGTTTATTTGGGGCAACCCCAAATTAAAACTGCAAAATATTTGATAGCATTGTTTCTTTTTTGGAGTTTGTCGCCTGTCTTATTACAATGCTCATGAAAAATAGAAGCACATAGTTTGGTATTATTGAACATAACAGTTGATTCAAAGAAGACTCATTAGTCCATGTTAAAATGATAGACGTTGCTGATTTGTGTTTTGATAGAAAGATTTCTGATTTTAAGCCAGTTGTTGGGGCTGTCCAGATATGGATTCATCACTTCAGTTTAATTATTGCTATTCAGGTATTGTGAGGGTTATATCGTCTGCATGTTTAGTCATTTTAATGTAAGCGTTGGTGGGTTTGAACAATTTTGACAAATAGAGGTTAAATAAGACTGGGTAGAGCTCAGCACCTTGTTTCATCTTACTGCAATTTGATTTGTTATCTTCCACAAAGGTGTGCCTTCCACGAAGGTAGGCAGCAATCCACTTTTTGGCGTTAATAGTTAGGTTTGAATTCACGATATCGTTGAGTAGTTGATGGTGACCAACAGTATCAAAGGCTGCAGTCAAGTCGAGCTTTTACGTGCAATGACATGCAAAATCTTGACGATCTTTCTTTTTTATGAAGCCCTGCTGATGTTCTTGAATTTTGTTGTTAAATTAAACTCTGGTAGTAATAAACGTTCTACGAGTTTTACTTGAGAGAACAATGTAATTGGTCAGTGGCTTTTGGTCTTTCGGGTTTCTTTCCGGGTTTAGCTAGGGGTATGACTCTTCCCATTTTCCAGATATTGCGCATTACTCAGTGAAATGCGTATTAGCTTGCTTAGGTATTTAATGACTTGTTTACCAATAAAATAAAAATGGATTGTGGCAATGTTATTAGGTCCAAGCACTTTGCTATTTTGTCCACTCGTTCACCAGAAGTTTTATAACAAACTATTACCTACACAGAAAACCCACCACATACATACACACAAGAGAGAGACAGAGAGAAAGAATTAATGCATTGATGGATTTTCATCTATCTTGATTATAGATTGGGTAGACTTGCAGCAGAGCAGCTTATCCGTACACCTGTCGTATTACTTGGGCAATTTAATCGAGAGAATATAAGTTAGTAGTTATAAGATTGGATAATTTTCATCTTCGGCAATTAAAGCTTTCTATTTCAAATGTTTGCGAAGCGGTTTTCAGCATGGTTTATGATACGGAATCAAAATAGCCAACTGACAGTTGGAAACGTGTCTATGAACGCAAGGAAATCGAAAAAAGTGACTGATTTGTTTCCTGACAAAACTTCCAGTTTCGAGTTTCAGAAAAAAGAACAGCTTTTGATTCACATTGACTTGTTTGACAAAATTAACGCAATTTACACAGTTGCATCAATAAGTGAAACTTTTATTCCGCTCGGAAAGCTAAAAATGAAAACCCAGTATGAAACGATGGTCATTGATGTTTTTCGTATTAATCCTCTTCCGTAATTGCAGGGCGTAACTCGCCTTCCTTCCAGCAAATGATTTTCATTTCAATTTGAACAATTTTGATTCAGCAAAAAATCAAATTAGGCGTGGATCAATGATCACAACTTTTAAATTTTAAGAATTTTTCTGAAAAAAAATCAGTCTTCAATACGTTCACCGACACTTAGCAATTAGAGAATAGACAAACGAAAACTTCCACCGAAATAAATTTATAAGCTAGCCATTAAAAGTGATAAAAACTATGTGACAATAAAATTAAAAGCGTTAAATTTACCTCAAAACCATTTACATTTACCGATAAAAACGCCTGGAAAAGCTTAAAAGGGTTAAAAGAGAAAAAAACATCAAAATGAGTTTTGAAAAAAAAGGCCCTCCACGGAATTGAAACAGACCTCAATTATCCAAAACGCCAGTGCTACATAAGTGGGCTGCTCACGCTTAGAGAACGGAAAACTAGCCCGTGATAAAGCGATAATACATGCTATGAAACTGCCATTACCAAGCAGCGGAGGTGCCACCGAAATAAATTAATTTTATGCAACTTGGCTAGGAATAAAACGAACTCGTAGCATAACACAATACTCCCGGAATTTGAGCAGACACCTGTTGAACCCAAAAATTGGATATGTTAAGCCTTTGATAAAAACAATCATTCTTTCACATCAAAAAATGAAATGTCAGAAACAAAAATTAGAAATCAAGTTTCAGAAAAAAGTGAAACGAGTGCTTTTCTAGACAATTTTTTTTACTGGAAAAAGTCTAGCACCCTACTTACTAGCACTTGCTTATCGAATTTTTGTAGAGCTAAGAGTTTGAACAAGGACAACTCGAAGGGAGGCAACGTGTGCAGTGAGTGCAAGAAGACGACTGACAGACTGAGCTACTGCTTCCATTGCGCCAGTGCAGTGTGTGAGGACTGCCGCTCTCAACACACAGAGGGCGTGGTCAAGGACTTGGAGAAACAGAACAACACACTCCAAGGTAAACCACCAATCGAGCTCTATTAATTCAGTTTTCACGGAAAATATAAACTAATATTTATAGGGCTAATAAAGAAGCCACGGCTATGTGCCTACAATGTAATTTAATGCGTAATGCCTGGTGACAAAGTGACCACCACGTTATTCGGAAACACCTCAATACCAAACTTTCCTTAACCGCCTTATTTTAGATAGGGCAATCAGCCTTTGATAATCCTCGATCCTCTGCGATTCACTGAAATAAAAAAAAAACGTTCTCAATTGCATTGTAGAACAGAAGCGTCTGATGGTGAAGAAGATAGAGGCTGTACAGCGGATGATCTCCACTCTGGACGACAACTGTGCCGAAACTGAAAACGACATAGACGACAACTTCACTATCATACAACACGAGGTAAACTTGGATAATTTATTCATACGGAGATTACTGAACCGTCAGATCAGTACGAAGTCTATAGCCGATATATAGACCCCTACTACATGCAATTCTTTGCGTGATACTACAGATTTGTACAATTTAAGTTGCAAAATGACACGTGACACCACCAAATACTGAATACGATTGAGAGGCTCAAATCTGACAAAAAAAAAACAGGTTATATTTAAATCAATTAACCTTCAAGTGTCTCTCGATCAGGTTTCGGAGGCGAAGTCTCGACTGGTTGACAGTCTGAACCAGAAGTTCTCTAAGGAGAAGCAGCGCCTGCAGAACCACTGCGAGACTCTCACTGACGCACTGGAGAAGGCGGGATCCTGCGAACTACCAGAGATCATGGACAAAAACATCAAAGACATCACAGGTACGTCAACATTGAACATTTGCCATACTGGCTGCAAACAACTATACAACCTGATATAGAAGCGAAGTAAAACAGACAATACGGCACTCAAAATTCAAGCATCTAATATCATTAGCTCTAGCTGGTCTTACGTCACTTCAATTCTGTGTTCAAAAAAAAAACATTTTTGATTGTTTCTGCAGGCAACGAGATCGCACTTTTATGCGAGCAAGCGATGGACCTGTTGGTGAGCTCTCGAAACCTTCGCTTCGCCACGAAGAGCGTCAAGATGCGCCACTGCTCCTTCAACTTCGCCCACGGGGAGAAACTTGCCACTATCAGAACTGCTCTACAGAAATTCGGATCTATCAAAGTGCAAACAAGGCTAGTATCCTTTGATGTCAACACAAACTGAAATCAATTTAAGCACAAAGAACCAACAAAAATCAGTACAATTAAAGATTCTATAAGATTCATATATGACAAATATAGTTTTTTTAAAATTCACAATTGAGACTCAAGCCCATTTGCAGACAGCCGAAGCCGGAACAATGGGACCCTGAAGACGACGAGATCTCGGACGGTGGCGATGGAGTTGGGGCTGGGAGTAGAGTGGACTCTTTGAGTGGTATCCTGTCCAACAGTGCCTCTCTAGAGGACGGACTCAGTGAAGGGGAGGAGGATGACAGCATAGTCAATGGCAGACGCAACGCTAAAGGTGGCTCTAACAGACGCAGAGGAACCACAACAACTACTGACAGAGGTCAACAGTTAACTTAACTTCATTGCCGGCCAAAAATATATCACCTAAATTGGCTCTCATGTATTCTTTGCGATGTTTTCTCCTAATTTATTAGAAGCAACGGAAAAAAAAGGAAAAATCACAGTCCAAGATGTCTTTTACACATAATCCCGTCCCTTTCAGACACAACACGGGTAAAAATTGAAGGGTGTAGAAAAAGTTAATGCAAGTCAAAACAGAAAAATTTGCCCGTAAATTGATCGGTACCAAACATGGGGTAAAAAACTTCTCTATGCATCAGGTGATTCGGACGACTCTGTATCGGATAAAGACGACGCTGCATTGGGTCGACCACTGGATCGCTACGCCCAGAGATCCGCCTCTGTTTTCCTACCTGCCACTTCTCCGGGGAGAGCCAAAAGCTACATCGGCAGCAGTTCCTCGTACGGAGCAGGAAGTGGGGGAGGGGGCTCGAGTGCCTCCAAGTCGTCAGGAGGAGGAGTGAAAAGCAAAGTGAGAAACAAGTTGGTCAAACAACAGAGTGGAAATGATAAGATCTTGAGGGCTTCATCTCTAGGTCGACTGGACACTTTCAGTGATGATGGAATGAGGTAAGAAATCATCTTTTCCCATTAGGTTGACATAGGTTATGCACTCATCAAAAATAGTGAGAGATAAATCGAGAGTAAAATCAGCCATGTCTCTATGCACATCCACCATTGAGCTCAATTAAAAACCCAGAGGCTTCTAAAAGAGGCTTGGCTGCTATCTCAAAAATATTGGCTGTTGTATGTGTAAGGCATTTCGGCTCAGATTGATTCTTACAGGTTTACACAGAGGCGAAGCTCTGTGTAAACCAGCGAAAAACTTGCGAGAATACGATCAAAAAGCTGCTTTAACAAATGACGTATAGCTTTTTTCAGTTCATTTGATGAATTTAAAATACATGCACTGTATGAGCTTATTACTATTCGAATGTCAAAGCACATGCTATCAATAAGCTGTAAAGATGCCACAAAAGTGGCATAAATATTTGCGAATTAGTTAGAAAAAAAAGTTCGTACAAATACACTTAATAATCATAATAAATTGTTTCCAAAAAAAGTCATAGCAAGAACGAAATTACAAATTTAGAAATCTTATACAAAAAAGTCACTTGAGAGAGTGAGCGCCATAAGACTAGGCTAAGCCTGTTTTCAGGCATCTCAGAGCAAGAATTGGAAACAGTTTATTGATACTCTTGTAGATAGCGGAAGGAAAATCTTAAAATGAGAGCCTAACGTGCTCACAAAAACTAAAAGGGGATAAGTCTTACCGTTTGGTAGGAATAGAGATAAGCGGTTTATCAGAACCAAAAAAATTAGGAAAAAAACGTTGTCGAAAAACAATGAAGGAGGCAAATTCAGATTAATTATAGTTGAACTACAAAACAGCTTATTTATCAGGTCACTATAAGTTTGAATATAGCCATCTAAAAATTGATGGTTGAAACTGTTTAGTTCCCGGTTATAAAATTTTTTATCATTCCTGTAAAATAAAGAAACCAAAAATCAAACTTTCGAAGAGAACACGAGTTGAAATTTCATACTGTTGTCTTATGTCTTTGGTTGATTCAAATTTCTTTTTGTGACATATGGTTTTTAAAAGACGCTTCAGCACCATTTTTAGGTGTTCTAAATTTGGTTTTATCAGTTGATGTGTAAACGAGGACTCATTATTGCAAAATTGGCTGAACAAAAGTTTTGTATGCCAAAGGAAGCTGTTTTTTGATAAGAACTTTTCTCAGTCTATAAAAGAGGCCACAATACTGGCTTACTACTTTTTCTGAGAAAATTATGTAGTTTTCGAACGTTAATTTCTCATCTATAACTAATCCAAGATAATTGAAACTTTTGAGTTTTTCTATTATTTGGCTATTTATTGTTGTACCTGTAGAGAGTTTAGCAGCTGATTTTTGCCAAAAACCATAGTTTTAGTTTTTTGTGAGCTAAGTGTTAGTTAATTGCTTGCTGTCCAAAAATTGATTTCCTTTAAAACTTCTTGGTGATCTGCTTTTAGACTATTTAATGAAGAAGTTGTTTTTATGACTGTATCCTCAGCATATAGTAATATCTTACTACCTTGTTCAGGACTTTTGTTTTTTTTTCTGTATCATTTATATATAGGATGAATAAGAGTGTGCCCAATAATGATCCCTGTGGGACACCAAAATTAATTCCTTCATTTTTTGATTTTTTTTCTCGAGATATACACAAATTGTTTTGTTTGCTAAATACGATTTCAATAAATTAAAAAATACTCTCTAAGTCCATGCGAGCCCTCTAAGTCTCGCGTTTTCCCAGCAAAATACCATGGACAACTGTCTCAAAAGCTTTTTTCAGGTCAATGAATATACACTGTGTTAAGATGGAATGATCATTCCAGTGTAACCTAATTTCCTCAATCAGCGATACAATCAGCATCGCAAGTGTAATTATGTTTGATTTGAGTGGTCGATTTCAGTGATGTCAGTCGCAAGAACAGTGTCTCAGGGGGTGGTTCTCTGATAGAGCAGCACAACACTCCCCCAGTGCAGAACTATGCCACTTTGAGGGACAAGTACGAGGCAATCAGGGGCCCAGTCAGCAGCCTCATTTACAGAGACAGCCCATCAAAAGGTACGCAAAAGTATGAATGATCAAGACCAAAGCTAAATACGCTGCCCAAAATGCCACCCAAAACATAAAAAACGGATATTATGACGATAGCTAGTTTTGTGATGCATCTATTTTTGTCTGCTCGTGTTCTGTTGATAGGGTTCTTGATTTCTTAATAGCAAACCATTATAAATAAAATTGTAATTTCGAAAAAGGTTTCGTCAGCAATTCGACAGCCACTTCATTTTTTGGTATTTCAATTCATATGACGTCATTGATTTCAATTCATATGACGCTACTTTCTCGTTTGATTAGGTCACGTGCTAGATGTGGTTGCAAGATACCGGTCTAGTGGGTTTGTGGTTGCCGACAACAACGAGTACCAAATACGGGCATTCAACTCCAACTACCACTTGTCAGCTCACTTCTCCTTCCGACTGGGGGAGGAGGACGTGCCCTTCATCTCGGGCATAGCGGCCACCTCCGACAAGATATTCCTCTTAGTGGACAGCAAGAACAAATACGTGCGCGTGTTCGACAGGAAAGGTAAATTACATTTGTCCAATGTTTCATGTACATATTATCATCATCAATATCTGTTTGATGTTAAGTCTTGTCAATCATGTGAGCTATCACAGACAAAGTTAAACAATGCTTGAGACATATATTTTCGCAGCCACTCTTTCAAGGAATTTAATTTCGGAAGTTATCAATGTATTTGCAGGTTCCTTTATCCGGGAGATAGGCAAGGACCTGTTCCAGAGACCCAAAGATGTCTGTACCGATGATGTCGAGATATTCGTCACTGACTCGGGTGCCAGCTGCATACAGGTAAGCTTAGTCGTATGAGTTCGCTGAATGAATGGTCTAATATCGCGAACTTAAGCTCTTAACGTTGTCCTGGGGCAAGGTTTCCGGCTCTCAGTCGAAACGCAAGCAGTTCGACGCAACCATGATCACGTTTGTTGCATGTGAGGGTTAGGCAGCGTAGAAAAGAAACCACAAAATGCATGCTATTCTTAATAAGGGGCACAACAGCAGTTCGCCATTCTAAGCTAAGCAGCTCGTATTTTGGCCCTTTTCATGCTGGATAAATTGTCTGAACCAAAATCTAAAATACAGAAAAAAATCACATAGTACACCTGACTTTTACACAAAAAAAAAACACTTCAGGAAGCTCCAGCACTATCTAATTTTGTCTTGCATGCTACAACAAACTATATAATTTAGTTAAATAACGAAAATTCTCTGATAGTGCCATCATTTTCTGGTATGTTCTTTTTGTTTTATTCAAATTGCACACTATATTCAGTAACTTACTATGCTTCACAACAAGTTTTGGATTTGTTTTCAGGTGTTTGACATGCAAGGGAAGCACCTGCGCACCCTCGGCGGTCCCGGGTCAGCCGACGGGGAGTTCCTGTGGCCTGCCGGGATGAAGATGACAACAGAGGGCAAACTGGTGGTGTGTGACTGCAACAACAACCGCATCCAGTACCTGACCAAGGACGGCGAACACATTCAGAACATCAGTTCCATTTATGGAACCTACTCTGCATTACGACCTACATGTGTAGATCTAGATCGAGAAAACAACGTCGTCGTTCTCTTCAGCGAAAGCAGACGAGTGAAAATTTACAACAAAGACTTGAATGTCATGCATGATTTCAGAGTGGACGATGAGTTAAATTCAGTGGCCGTTACATCCGACGGACTGATTGCTTTGGTTGATGGTTCGAAGAGTGGAAAGTGCTTCATTTACTAACAGTAAATTAAAATTATAGGACTCTAATTTGCATTTAATAAACTATTACTACCCCTTATATTTTCAAACGAATACATCCAAAACCCAGTCTTTCTTATTGATTTGATCCAAAATGAATAGAAAAAAAAACAAAGCGGAGCTTCGAACCACTAGCAATATATATTTGAAATTTGAAAATTATAATGAACCTTCAAATGGGAACTGCCGCGAAACAAAAAATCAACTAATGCCAGTCTGTGATCAACTATTTAAAATTTTTAAATGGAATCAACAAACAATTCTCAGCACAGTTACTTAGAAAATAATGTCTACAATGAAGAAAAAACAAATTAAAGTAATCATTTAAGCAAAAAAAAATCAATTAAAAACAGAAAATATAAATAATGAACATTCAGCGATTGTAGATACTTAGGATACCCAATGCAGAAGGACTGCGAACAAAACTATGTTAACCGGAAAAACCAAGTACCCAAATATAAAACACTTTCTTTTGCAAGTGTAATAATTAGATCACTGCATTCAGCTATGAGATTACTTTCGGCCATTTATCGGAAATCTTGAGTAAAAATTGCTCTTTAACATCAGAAAAAAGTCAATTTAAAAAATAGCTCAAGAAGAAAGCAACAAGGTCTTCGAGCAGAAGATGACAGAAATTGAAGAAATGCAAAGACTCATGTCAAACTAAGAAAATACGACCATTGCGACACTAGCAAACCTATTAAGAAAAATTTGTTTACCTGCAAGAATCAAAAAATTTTCAAATGCCGGCTAATTCTGAAAAACAAACAAAATGAAAACAAGGAGAGCCGGTTGCTATGTAAGTAGCACAAAATGTTCCGACCACAATTTCAGAATGTTCCGACTACTTTTTTTCATTTTTTTTCAAGTCAGTTTTTTTAATACAGCTGTACGAAATGTAGAAACTTATAAAAATAGACATAAAATAGTACAATGGTCTTCAAAAACAAAAAAAAATAGAAAAAACCAAGAAAAAATTCGAGAAAATTTTTTTTCAATTTTTTACTTTTGGTTTGTAATGAAAAATTTTGTCAACTTGAAAAAAATATATATGTTTGGATTCGAGTAAGCCGAACAGCGGTTCCCCTTCACTTTGAGCTTAGCAGAAAATCATTTGACAAAAAATCTGTATGAAAAATTTTTGGAGGTTCTAAACTGTAAAAAAAAACAAGAGTGAGAAAAAGTTAAGTTATTGTTACAACATTCTTTTCATTCAAATTGCCGTATGAACACTTTCTCAACTTTTTTTTGTAATTTACGAGGGGGCGAGAAACTGGAAAAGAGCCTTATTTTAAAATCATTTATTAATAAATTCTGTTGACTGAGGGCAACATGGGAATCCACTATATTGTTGAAATTTTAGAATACAAATCATAATTATAATTGATTTCTTTTCATTTTTCTTAGATCAAAGGAGTGGGACATGAAACTAATTCAATTTGAAACGATTGTGCAGTGCGGGATAATTCATCATGCGTAAACAATTTGCGTTACTTTCAGCATCAAACTATTTAATGAGCAGTTTAGATAGAATCGTTTCAGCTTGCACAGACAGTCAAAAGCACCCCAAGCGTATATATTACTCATTTTCTCCGAAAATCGGAACAGCAAGAATCTCAATCATCTGGTATGGATTTCATTAAAAAGTCCAACGGTAAATTTCGAAAATTTGTCCAATAACATAAGAAAATCATAACTTAAGTTTTCAAAAAATATATTCTCGTCACAATCAAGTCACACTCACGTAAGAGTAAAAAAATAAAAGCATTACTAATCGATACACGAACTACAGTTGCCATATGTTCCACTATTTTGTCGGACAACTCAAAAATCAGGAAAAAGTTCTGGCCATCAACTTCTGATCCAATTACGCTTGCTGGTCGCAAACGCAACAGCAGAAGGCCCCAACCATAGAACTCATTTTAAACAAACAAAAGATCAAAACATTTTTTAAAAAAAAAACTGTTTTTCAATGTTTCATGTAATTTTGCCGCTTTTTGGGTAGTGCGTGAGTATTGTAAAAAAAAATTGAACAATTAGGTGAGAAGTACCTAAAAACCTTTTAAAGATGGCAGAAAAATAGATCGTAATCCACTCCATAATTCGGCTAACTGTTGCCCAATGCTTAGCCTAATTTGTTTTGATTAAATAGTTTCAAAGATGAAACAAACGTGAGTCATTCCAATACCACTAGCAAGCCTTTCTCCAGTAATCAATCAGCTCGCAAAAAATAGTTGCTGTTCTGATTAAGCTATAAAACTTCGAAATCTCAAGCTGAGCCAGATCGTAAATCGGTTTGAAAACTTTGCGTATCATAGAACGAATCAGTTCTCGAAAAAATGAAACTTAATCTGAGCAAGCTATTCAAGCTACGAAACCTTAAACAATTTAGTTAATTTCGTGAAGCGAATCGGAGTGCAAAAAGTTTTTCTAAGCAAGCTGTTCAAGCTAATAAATTTCAATATTTCAAGTAATTTCATGGAGCGAATTGGTTGGCAAAAACACTTACGTTTTACTGAAGCAAGTTAATGAAGCAATAAACAATTGAAAAATTTCGAGTTGTTTAGATCAAAACATTTTGCGAAAATTTTTTTTTTAAGCGAGCTAATTGAGCGAGCTAACAGAGCAAATCAGTTCGAAAAAAATTCAAAATTCACTGAATCAAGCTATTGTAGCTATTAAAAAAATGAAATATTTACAAGTTATTTATTAGGAAACGTTTTGCGAAAGTAAATTTTTCTGCGCGAACTAATCAAGCCATGAACTTCGAAAAAAACCCAAGCGCTTCGTACACCGAATCATTTTACCAAAAGTTAAAGTTTTCTAAGCAAGCTATTACAGCTATGAAACTTTGAACTTTTTCAAGTTATTGTGTAGACCAAATCGGTTCGCGAAAACTTTAAGTTTTTCTAAGCAAGCTTTTAAAGCTACGAAACTTCGAAATATTTCAATTTAATTCATAGACTAAATCAGTTCGTGAAACAATTAAGTTCTTCTAAGCAAGCTTTTTCAGCTAGAAATTTTTATATAATTCAAGTTATCTATAAACCGAATCAGTTTGCGAAAACCTTAAAGCTTTCTAAGCAAGCTATTCAAGCTATGAAATTTTGAAATTTCTCAAATTATTTCGTGGACCGAATCGGTACACGAAAAGTTTCAGTTTTTCTAAGCAATCTTTATAGCTATAAAACTTTGAATGATAAAGCTATAAAACTCTGAAATATTTACATTTATTTCATGGACCGATTCGGTTTTCGAAAAAAAAAATTTCTCAGCATGAAGGTTGCTGTTTTCAGTTTATTCGTGTCAGACTGAAATGAATCTGTAAACACAAAATTTTTGACAAAAATAGGCAAGTACTGTCTAGCCTTGAAGTTGGATCGAGTTCATTTTTCTCTGATGGTTGCTTTGAATGATTGTTTAACATTGTGCTCGATAGAAAAGTTAAAACGTTGCGTCCATAGCGCATAAAGACTTTCATTTAATATATAAGATTGAAGGTACTGAAAAGAACTTCGAAATATCTGGTATGCGCTAACACAAGCAATAGCAAATAACGAAACCAACTGGAACGAGCCGTAAATCAGCTCATGTGAAAAAGAAGGCAAGATTTCCGTTTAAAAGACGACATTGGTAAAACGATCGAGGAAGCAACTACGAAATAAAAACAGAAGCGAAATTAAGCTTCGCAGCAGTTGCGATACAACGCAAGTGCATCATTACAAGCTATGATGCGGCGGAATGAGACAGAAAGCCAAAAGTATGAGCAATAAAAAAGCCAAAAGTACGTGAGCAGAAACCATTTCAGCCGAAAAAAAATAAATGAAATGAAAAAATGTAAACTCAATTCTAAGCAATTTGTGCAACTTTTAGCAAATTGTGCGATCAGGAGGGGAGCATTCAAAATGTTTTGCTTGAAACGATCTAAGGTAAGGCCACTAAGCCGATAAAATATCTGCCGAAATCATTTGGGCAGAATAAAGATTTAAGCGAAACACAAACAAACAAAAGAGAAAATATACCAAGCCAAGGGTGGTAAAATTACAAACAGCAAAAGTAAATCAAAACACAAGAAAGCAAATACAATGTGCTCAGCAAAAACAAACCAATTCTAAGGTGTGGCGACTAGGCCGACAAAACCTAAGCAGTCAAACAGAGGCGATGCGGAGCTTCGCACCACTTTCGATGCAACACATACATTTTAGAAACGTAGGAAAATTTTTGGTGTACTGATAGTTTTCATTCCAGGCAAAATTTCTGGAAAATTAAACATCAAATTAGCAACGGAACAAAACTTACGAAGAGGCAACAATCTTTGAGCAGATGCAAGTTGATCCGAAACAAAATATGACTATATAGAAAAAACCTTTAAGCTTCAAGTCCCACCCGAAACTGCAATGAACAACACTTGCAATTGCAACTAGAAGGAAAGTTAGTTACAGCACAAGAAAAATAAGCAGTAATGAGGCAACTAAGTCAACAACATTTGAGCAGACACCAGTTGAGCCGGAAAAAAAATTTTATGAAAAAAAATTAAAACTTTTTAAGTTCCCCGTGATACTAGAATAAGCAATATTTGCACTTGCATCTGCAATGAAAGTTGCTTACAGCAAAAACTAATTCCGTGATGTGAAAAACTTGCCGACAAAACTCGAGCAGACAAACTTAAGTTCGATAATTCAATTTCAACAGAATTTTGTTTTCAATTGCATACAAGCTGAAAAAACCAAGGTCTGGCCAGACGCGAATCCCATCCCAAAGGCTGCAAGGGCGTTAGATGCAATAGATGTTAGGGTTCAATATAATAGAAAAAGTTGGTAAAAGAACAGAGTAAGGCAAATAAAAATTTGAGAAAAAAACTCGTGTCATAAAAAAATTCAGCTATGAAGTTTTAAACCAATTTATGAAAAATATTTAAGCATAAAAAATACAATTTATCCTCAAAACTACGAAAAACAAACAACCAAAAAAAATAAACAAAAAACTACGCAACAAATTTGACCTAGCTGAAATAACATAAGCCAAAACCGTT